GATGAATGCAACATAAAGTTTAGACTGCTGCTCTTTTACTTTTTCCTGTAGTTGACGGATGGAAAATATGGAATCGACGGTGCCGCGGTTGGTACGAAAACCCGTTTGCGATTCTGGAAGAATTTTTTCTATATGTGGGTGCGGGCGGTTTGACATTATTTTTGCAAGAATTTTTCCGCCGATAGCCAATAGCGAAATTCCCCGGTAATTTCCGCAGTCTGATGCACTTCCTTTGTTCTTAAATATATTCACTATATTCGCATTGCGAAAATCCTGAGGTACCTCTCCGCTTTCCCATACGACATCAAAGAGAGCCTTAAGATGACCAATAAGTTCTTTACTTGCACACTTATAGATTTCCGCCGGAATATCGTCACAGCCAGCTGATTTGTTGTTTTTAAGCTGTTTTATGGAGGTCTTTATTTCTTGTTCTGTTATTGGGATGTCTAATACATCGAGGCTGTTATACTGAGGTATTGTGTTTAATGCTTCCATATTGGGGTTGTTTTCTTGGTTAAGGATATGGCTGTAATGTTCTTTCCAGCGATTTCTAATTTGTTCTTCCTCTTTAGAAGTTCGCCATTTTGAGCCATGATTGGGCAGCTTACCTTCTTAGTTGGGCCGTATACTTCTTTTACAGCCTCGAAGAATTTACGATAATCGTGATGCGTGGCGTACTCTTGAATCTGATTCGCTTTTTTGTGACCACCAGTTATCCTTTACTTGGCGCAGTTCTCTTCGAAGCGTGTTGTTGGCTGCTTTAAAGTTGTCTACCAGTCTTGGATTATGTGGATTTGCAGTGACGGCTTGATATGCTCTATGCTTTTGTTCCAACAAAGCCTGTATATGCGGTTGATTTTCGTCAAACCAGTCTGGTTGTTTCTTTTTGTTCGACTTTCCCAGTACTGCTTCGCTGGTTTTATGAATCGCATCCCTTAATTGTGTCCAGCCTTGTTCAGCTTCCAATACTGAGATTGAAGTTATCGGTGGAAGTGATTCTTTGATGGCTTCCCGGAGGGCGTCGGCGGTATTGTTGTTTTCTAGACCCCGTACGTTCAACCTGGTCATGTTGTTTTGCTTTTTACAGTGTGGATGTTTGGGTTTTAACTGGATTTTCATTTTTGAAATTAAAAGTCGGTGGTCAGTGCCGCATTCGGCATCTACTCTAGCTTTTGTGAGCCTAACATCTTTTAGATGCGTCCTTCGAACGATTATGTGGTCCAATTGATGCCAGTGGCCTGATCTAGGATGTTTCCAGGTACCTTTAAACTTGTCCTTCAACATGAACCACGTATTGGTGATGCAAAGATTATACTCTGCGCATGTTGTTAATAAGCGTTCACCATTGCTATTTGCGTTTCCCATTCCATGTTTTCCCAATACGTCAGGCCATATTTCCTGTTGTTTGCCTACACGGGCATTAAAGTCACCTAGCAAGATGATTCGTTCGTGCTTTGGAATTCGTTGAAGGGCATTTTGTAAAGCTTGGTAAAATTTATCCTTATCTTCAATTTTAGCGTCAAGGGTGGGAGCGTAGGCACTAATGATGTTGACGTAAGTTTTGTCTGATATGGGGTACCTTAGGGTCATAAGACGTTCGGAGACACCAATAGGTACTTCTGTTAACTTGGTGGCGATTTCGTTTTTGATCGCAATGCCTACACCATGAATTCTCCTGTGTGTTGCGGGATGACCTTTCCAAAAGAAGGTGAAATGCTCCTCAGTGAGACTACCTTCATCTGCAAAGCGTGTTTCGCTTAGAGCGGCAACATCTATATTTAATCGGTGGAGTTCCTGTGAGACCAGTGCTGTTCTTCTCTGGTCGATTTGAATTTGTCTTGTCCAGTAGAGTGCGGACGTTCCACGCCGCGAACGTGAAACATTGATGTTTTTGTTTCTCCGATGATACGCTCGAGTAGGCACCCCCTCCCGGAGATCCGATTGAGGGGGTATTTTACCTCCGGACGATAATTTTGTCCCACTCGAATGTTCCATCATTGCTGTGTGTAAGCTGCGTGAAAAGGTTTAACTGTGGCGGTTACGCTGCCGCACAGTTTTGGCTGCAACTGTAGCACGGGATGGCTATGGCACAGTGAGGACTGCGACGATAGTTCCCTTGTGCTACGTTCTCGGCCGGCTAGGTGTATTTTATTACTCCTTTTCCCCAGAAGATGGTAGGTCTGAGGGTTGTATAAGGTTATACCGCCTATACTCGGACGTCAGAGCCTCGTTTGTGTAAACAGGGTGCACCACGTGAAGGTGAGGTTGACTTTTGTCATTATGTGGATAAATACCCCGCAGGATTCAACCAAAGCTGACTCATAATCGGTCATGATGTTTTCATTTGTAACATTGGGAAATGTAGTTTTAATATACTGGAACACGGCATCGTATCAAAACTTTTGTTGTATTGCACATAAAAATATTGACGGAAAAAAATATTAATAATTATTTTATAAAACTGTTTCCAAAATTTATACCATTCTACCAGTTGGCCAAAGAAAGTTGACTTCATATTCTCTAATATAGATTTAAATGATACTATCACTACCGTAAAGTGGGGCTATTTTGTGACAGTTTTAAAGGTTTTTTCGAAAAGATTTCATTCGTTTACTAAATGATATTTCAACTCTAGCACAAAGTAGCACCTGTGCTATACATTATTTAAGTCGTATATGACGTTAGAAATGAAAAAAAAATGTTTGTAGGATAATAGGGCCAGGAAGAATTCATCAGTTGAATGCAAAAAGAATATTTATTATACCAACTATGGTGTATAATTTCAAAACACAAACTATTATTCTACCTATAGATAGGTAAGTATAAGAGAAAAATAAAACATTTTTAGGTAACCTGTTATGCCCTAGCTGCTTATGATGACATATAAACATTATTCGAGTAAACTGCTTAGTTCTTGGACGTCAAATAACGCGCGTCAAATCCTCGCTGTACCGGTGGATTAATGCTCATAACAATTTCACTGTTGGAGTAAAATATATCGTCCTTTTTTAGGGACCACTTCCACAGTTTTCCCGCGGCAGCCATCACATTAACCATTGCTCCCAACGCGACGCGACGGAGAGATTTCTGTTATTTTTCGCGGAAAATACTTGCCTTCGAATTCTACAACAACATATTTTCCAATTTGTTTGTCCACATCTGCGGATTCTTGTGAAATTGTTTTGGTGAAATTTTCGTCGTCAGTATGGAAATCTTCATCCGACGGGCTCTGGTCATTTTCTTGGTACTGAACTTCACTTTCACCATTACTGGCATCAGACATTGAACTATTGACCCTGATTTTTCGTTGCATTGCTGTACCTCAGCAAGAAGTACCTGTACAGTTCACTGATTCTAGGGCATTATCGCTGTTAAAGTCAGAACTGCTGATGCTCTTTCCAGGTGGTACGTTCAATCGTTTATTTCTTTTTATTTGGCTTGTTTTTGTTGCAACCGCTCGTGTTTTACTTAGATGTTCAATAAAGGTTTCGCTCACAGCTTGCGCTATTTCATTATCAGTAGTAACAACACGACTGTATATGCGGTTTAATACTTCCTGGCGATTTAAGGGATGAATTCCCGTTTTCCTAAAACCGGATTGTAAATTTTGTGAACCGCGCTCTTCTAGCTTGTTCATCAACTCTTTTAAAAGCCTTGGGAATTCATCCTTTGGCACCGAAGAAAACCTGCTACCGGGGGCGGGACACCTTCCTTCCACTCGCATAGAATTCTTCGCCATTTTTCTTTCATGGGACGGAAAAATGCCACGTCCAATGGCTGGAGAAGATGGGTCATGCGAAATTGGCTATGTTCTAAATTATTTAGCCGCCCGGAGTGTCAAAGATAATCTTAACATATATGTACTTACGTGATTCATGCAAGTTGCAAATATAGTTAATATTTGCGAGAAGTTGGGCCACCTTGGTACTGATTTAAAAATACTGTCTACAAAAATGTACTGGGTATTTGTAAACTGACTAATAAATTCCGCATTTCCAAAAACAATTGCTGAGTCTCCATTAGCTGAAATTACGGTACTAGAAAGAAAGGCCCTTTATCACAAATTCTATATTTAGGCCATTGTCAGTTCAAGCTGCGTTCTGAACCAAAATCGCACTTTAGGAGGTCCCAAAACCATATTTTGGCACTTTTAATAAATAATAAAATTAACAATAAAGTATTATAAATTAATACTTAATAATATTTATCTATTAAAAATAAATATAAACATAAATGGTATAAAAAATGATATGTCCATTATGGAGCAATGTCCATGTGGTAGAGTATGAACTACTAGCTTAATCAGATGTCTCTTATCATCATTCGGACTTAAACCTATTTTCGATTGTTTAACACTGTATAGTTCATGTTTGTTCGACTGAATTAGTTATTTTGCGATATTATTTTTTCGCTAAAATTCTCTAAACACTCAACATAATCGTCGTAAAAGTAATTTTCTTTTTAATAACGCACTTTTTTACCCCCTTAATCTTTTTAGTAACACCCAAATTTGGAAAATAAGTATCAATTTCCTTTTTTTCTTCACCTTTTCGTTTTAGTTCATTTTCTTTTTGTTCTAGCTCGTCAGTTATAATATAGTGTTGTAGCATACATTGTAGAACGAAGTCCAATAAAATGCGTCATTATACGTCTATTGTTTTCATCTTTCATCATACCCAATACCTTTTTGTTAATTTCGGAATACAGTAGATATTGTCTATGGAATAATTACTTGTGTCAAAGTACTGATGACAATCTCACACTTTAAAATTTCGCCTAGATGTGTTAAAGTTTTAGACAGAATTTGGATAATCGCTTCCATCTGTACATAGAACATCGTACAGAATTATAAGGCACATGTAAAGCAGTCGTTACAAATCCTATACGTACATATTCGTATATTGTTCAGAAACTGTAAATTATATTCTTTGCTCTAGGTTGCTATAATGCTTTCTTTGGATCTAATTCGGAATCTAATTCATTTTAGTAGTTCCATTATGATGGCTGCACTGACGTTATCAGGTCTAATTGGTTCAAATCTTAAAAATATAGCCATCTTTCTAGTTATAAAGACGCCTACAGGTTTGTACTGTAAATTTACATTCACCATAGTACTGATCTTATGATCTTACTCAACAGACATAGTCAACGATACAATATAATCTATCATAGAAACAGTCTAAAAATTTTTTCCAAAGTTAATTATAAAGGCACATATATAAGGCTCATTATTCAACCAAATTATCGCCGGTAGTGTGAGTTACCATTCTTGTTTTGATGAAACGTTCTGCACCGTTCAAATGAACCAATCGTAGGAGTCGACTCAATATGGAAATTGAATCTTTTGATTTGATTCGTTAAATCATAATGCCCACCATTAGCTGCTACATCAATTTCCATGTTATCCACTGTATCAACACTGTTCGGGGCACTACTGGTTCCATCTTTAAAAACCATATGATATGTTCTTTCTTTTTGTGATTTTGAATAGGTGGTTGCAGAAAATATCTCTTCAGAGAGACGATATTTCAGAAATGTCATTTGGGGTATGTGGAATTCCAAGTAAAATCTCCTGAAATTTTCTTCGACCATTTCAGAGCAAAATGTATTAAGACTAATGCAACCATACACACACTTCTCACACAGGTGTCCTCAAATGCGATAGTTTATTGAAGTTTTAAGGTATTTAATATATTTTTCGTCATCGTCATTGTCTTCAAGAAGATTTAGGAATTTCAGGGTGTCGTTACATATTTTTCTCAATAAATGCTCAATAAAATTTGCTTTCATCATATGTATTAGAAAAGTACTTTTCAGTGACAAGATCGCACATCTTTAACAATAGGGCCATGTGACATTCAATAAATATAATTATTACAAATTACTTAACATTTTTATTGCATTATTTACTTAATAATTATTTACTCCAACACATCAACATTAAGGGCTTTTCCATCAATTAATACCGAACTCTGCCCTCTGTAATATTTCTGTTATTTAGGGAAGTAACAGAAATAATATTTATTCATAAGTTGTACTAGATTATCTGTGATTATTCTGAATAATGCGTTTTGATAGAAGATTGGAACGTTAAGTTATTTTTTTTTCTGTATCATGTTATAGAATTGTTTTCCCAACACGTGTTGTCATTGACACCATGTATTTAATAAATATTACCATTATTAAAAACATAGATAAATAACGAATGCATTCATTATAATAAATAAATGCGGGAATGCGTCATTATTGTGATATCTAGTAACACATCAAAACGTAGTTAAAATTGCAAAGTTGTTGTCGCTTAAGCAATTTAATCCCCAAAAATGGCATATTAGCAATTAAGAAAAACGATTTAACTACCTGAGTTTTGAATAAACATTTTTTTGAACTCAAATTCATGATCATATTCTATACTACCCCAATCTTCTAGCGTAAGGTTGTTTATATATTCATCAAAATGTATAATGTTTTCATTAATCATCTTGCTTAATAAATGTTCCTTTCCCAGATTTGTTTTACAGAGGGGCCAACGTTTATTCTTTTTGATAAAATTAATTATGAAGAAACGATTCCAAGCTCCTGTAATCTGATAAACCATTGACTGGTCTATCTGCACCTCCTTCCTTGTATGCTCTTTCATTTTCTCACAGCCTTCTTCTTCATTTACTGTAGGGTGACCAAAATGCCTATAACAACCAAAAAATTCAAAAATTTGAGAAGGGTGATCAGAGTATTTATCTATAATATCATAAAGATGATTAACCCATGTTCTTTCTTGATTGTCGTTGGACTCATTTATCAGCTCGTCATAGAATTGATGACAGATACTTAGTGAGTCATATCGATCTAAATGAACTCCGACACAGAAAAATGCTACTATCACCTGATTATCACTTTGCCCAGTAATAATACCTTAACTCCTAATATAGCCTCAGCTGCAAAAAGGCTTCCACTATTCCGTCGTACCATCCTTTTGTGCAGGCCTTCTAGCGGCAACCTCCTTCTTGACAATCCATGTAGTCTTTACTCTCTCGAAAATGATGATTTTGATTCTACCGATTATTTTGTTGCTAATATAAGCTAAAATAACATGATTTACAAAATTCGTGAACATAAGTTAAAGATTCTTTTTCTAGTAAAATTCATCTATGTTTCTTTTAAAAAACTATGGGCATGGGTGGTCTTCCATCTATGTCATTTTCCACAACAATCTAGTTATAAGGTAATCAGGAAAATCTTGGCATATTCATGATTTCTTGTGATTTACATTGGTGATCATGTCTTATAATCAGCCTGCAGAACCAACTTCTGGTTCTACAGGATAGGCTTTTTATATTCTAGCTAAATTGCTTTCTCAGGTGCCAACAAATGAATGTAAACCTCCTATTATCTAAATTCTTATTATTGAAACCGCTTTACAAACGAGTACGCCCACTTACTAGTATATACTTATCATTGGCAATTTTAAAATGCGTTAATGTTTTATTAGAATCCATACTCCTCTATATCCCCCTCTGGATACTCCCCACCTTAACCCAACCCCACACCTCCATCCCACAAAATCCTAATAAGGCATCGGCTTGCCCCCTTCTGCGGAATAGTCACAGTTATTTTTGTGCTAAGATTTCGGTTTATTTAATATACGGTTTCAGGATGGTTTTATAGCAGTGCAGTTATATTTCGTAGTTTTACACTGACTGGATCAGATACGCGTTCCAGAACAATGTAAGATCAGACATGACCATTGCACACCATGAACCGTATAAATATTCTTCTAAGTATTAATGGTCACCCTCTCTAATAGTACCAAATAACTCAGGTATTGAGATTCGAGAATTAACAGAAAACCACTATCTTTGGTTTAGCCTTACCAGTAATAAGCTATCATAGGTAATGGTCGAGTAATTAAAAGTGATTAATGAATTCACAAGTAACTCTATATATATATCAAAACGATTTATTTTCTGAACATTTAATACATCATCACCCAAAATAAGACGTTCACCCCGCCGATTTTCTGTGACTTCTCGCGGAGAGAAGTGTATAAGACCAAGTCTCCGTCAACCGCTAATAGACGATTCTGTTATTGAGATATATTCCATTCAAGTACTGTTTTCTGAAGAGAGTTGTGGTTTCAGACCACCAAAATCATAATACTTAACAGTGACTATTAACTTGCGATTAATTCGTCTTAAATCAATTGGTTTCTATATCGTGTCGCATGGTTTCTATCAATCCACTAACCAATCTTCATTAATTTGCAACGACAGTGTTTTTTCGTACTTAATTATGGTCTGTTCACTTTTAATCATATTTTGGCTGTATAAGATCTTACTTTGTAGGAACTGTGATCCCTACATGCCAGATATTGGGTTTTGGGGACTCATAGACGTACTGATTATATTCTGATTGTATACGTATCTCGAAATAATTTATAGTAAGAAAATGAACCGCACGACTTGACTGTGTCCCTAACAGGCCTAGCAATAGTATGCAATACTATTAGACAAATAAGTGTAACACAATGTTTTATCTGGAAGTACAAGGATAAAAGTGTAATATTTTTGACACCTTCTCAGTAAAATTCTCTTTGTATTGTAATTTACAAGAATTAATAGACTTACTCTTAATTTTGACGACCACCACTTTTTGATTTGTGTGTGCCTGTATCTCTTAAGTCTTCATTAATTTCTGTTGATTCGTTAGTTGGGTTAAGGTGCGTTGCTGAGGCCCCGAACCTAATTTTCCGGCAATTAGGGACTATGTCATTCAGCACGAAATCTTAGCATGGTATAAAATATTCAACAACATCACATCCTAAATTAAAATTTAACAATCACCTATGAAATTGGGTGTTCTATGTCACAGCCCAAAAATTATGGGACGGAAGATGTTGGCGGTTCTAATGTTGACTGTCGATAAACAGTTTTGGGACATATTGACGGTATTCTTAAATAAACGCATGTCGAACATCCTTTTGATCAGATTAGGACGATTAAGGGCAACACTCCGGACCGATGACCAGCACAACGATTTTTGTTTATCATGCTCTCAGAATTTGTTGAACTAAGACCAAAACTGAAGTCATATCCCGGTAACTGGTTCACCTCAACTAATAACTTTACTTAAAGTTTAATTGATATAAAATAAAAACAAAAAAAAAAAAAAAAAAAAAAAGAAAAGAGTAAAATAAGAAATAACCCAAGCTGAACATCAAAATCACACCTTCATTTGTGACTAAATATTAAAAAGACGGCAGTTCATGGAAAAAAGAAACGTTTTCTCCCTGCAACCTCAAACAAAAATTTAATCCTAAAACAAAAACTCCAATTTTTCCGTAGTTCCTAGAAGCGTGCGAGAGTAGCATCTGGCAGTCACAAATATTACTATTTCATAATATATCAGTAGGTCTCATTCATTATATATCCCTAAACCCACCCATCAAATACATATATACCTCCTACGAAATAAATATAATAGTATATTATAATAATATACTCATAATTTACTCAAAATAAATATATTAATAGTATAAGTTAAAGTAAATATTTTTTTTTTTTTTTTTTTTTTTTTTTTTTTTTTTTTTATTTTAATAAAAAACCTATTCTCTTGTATTAGCCAGTACATCATTACATATATATTTGCTTTAAAAAAAATCTTATTTTTGAATTGACTCTGCTGCGTTACTCCATTTTAATCCACAATTGTTCTTTTTACGAATAGCCCAGGCCTCTTTATTCGCCTATGTTATTTTACGCCAACGTGCTCGAAAAAAAAACTCAATTTTTTTTTTTTTATGTTTAAAAATATTCAGTTTTAGATAAATTATCCGATATTAATTTCTATTCCATAATCCCTCCTTCCCCAACTTAATTGTTAATAACTTCCCCATCACACTGATTAAAAAATGCCACTCTAGAACATTAATAGTGTGATAATACATCTAACACATTTACTATTATATTTCAGAATAGTTACACTCAATTCCGTTCAAAACTAATAATGACTCGATAAGCCAGCCAGACCACAATTATAATCCTGATACTATCGGCTTTGGGATGTCGACAACATCATTAAATTATCTAGTCTTTATTGAGTCAACATATAAGTTTCTCGTTCTCTACGTTGCGGCGCTTCACTATAGAACAATTAGGAACATAACTGTGTGCTGCAAAGTAGCCATGTAAATAAACCTGCACCAAGTCATACTGCTCTCTAAACTCAATTTTCCAGAAGCAATTTCTGATTTTTGCACTGTTCGGTATAATAAGCACCAGATTTGTTCCTGTGTATGGAATCTACAATTAGTTGTGCCATATTACTGCCGAAGAATTAGAATTTAAGTCATGTGCATTGTACAAAGCACCTTTATTTCACGATGAGTAACTACCATATTCCAAGCGAGCTCAAGCTTCCTAGCGATTCGTTGCCTTTTCGAGTTGGCTAATGAATGCGAGGAGAGTCGGCCTGATATCGCTAATATCATACGTCATGATTTCTACGTAGATGACCTGCTCACGGGTGCCGATACTATCGAGCAAGTAGGATATATTTGTCAAGAGGTTTCAAATACTTTAAAAAATGGATGCTTCGAGCTTAGAAAATGGCATTCCAATGAACCTGCTGTTCTCAAAAATATAAGTGATCATAATATATCATCCGAAGTTCTAGAATTTGCCCGAAATGAGAAAACTAAAACTTTAGGGTTAAACTGGTCTTCTCGGGACGACGTTTTAATTTACAATATAGACGATTTTTCTACCGTTAAAAAATGTACGAAATGGGCGGTTCTATCTTTAATAGCCAGAATATTCGATCCGTTGGGTATTCTCAGTCCCTGCATTGTTGTAGCCAAAATGTTCATGCAGCGTCTTTGGTCTGAAAGGTTGTCTTGGGACGATTTATTGCCAAGCAATTTAGCCGATCAGTGGAATCGGTTTCGAGAGGAATTACCAAATTTAAGCATGTTAAAAATTCCACGCCAAGTTTTAGGCAAATGCATCCAATTACATGGTTTTTCATCAAGCATCCAATTACATGGTTTTTCAGACTCATCGACTCGAGCTTACGGAGCATGTATACGTACGACATATCCCGACGGAAAGGTGAAGGTAAGGCTTCTTTGCGCTAAGTCCAAGGTCGCTCCCGTAAAAACCCTTACAATTCCAAAGCTTGAGTTGTGTGCCGCTTTATTGCTGGCTCGTTTAGCAGACAAGGTAATACAATCTATGAACATAAAATTCGATGATTGCGTGTTTTGGTCGGACTCCACTATTGTATTAGCTTTGATTAAAATGGCTCCCAACTTATTAAAATGTTTTATCGCTAACAGAGTAGTAGAGATACAATCCCTTACTAAGGATAGGGAATGGCGTTATGTCCAGTCACTAGATAATCCGGCATATTATGTATCGAGAGGGCTACTTCCTAAGCAAATTCTAGATGCTGATAAGTGGTGGTATGGTCCCTCGTGGCTTAAACTAAGTTCATCCGAATGGCCATCTGTCGAGTATAAAGTAAGTCAACTACCGGAATTAAAATCTCAGAAGATTTCTTCGCTTCCAGTCAATATTATTAACGAGTTTCCTTTCGAGAAATTTTCAAAATTGTCTAACCTTCAAAGAATTGTTGCCTACATCCTAAGGTTTAAAAATAATTGTCTTTGCTCCAGTATTGACCACAAGGTAGGTCCCCTTACGGTTCCAGAGTTACAGTTTTCATTAAAGTGTCTTACTAGAGCTGCACAAAGGCAATCGTTTCCAGACGAATTTTTGAAGTTATCAAAGAAGCAAGTTCTCAGTCCAAAAAATAAATTAAGCAATCTTACTCCCTTTCTAGACCATAATGGCCTAATTCGCGTAGGCGGTAGATTGAAGCATTCAGATTTTTCAGTTGATAAAAAACATCCATTGGTTTTGCATTCAGATCATCAATTTACTAAATTGCTTTTCGAGTATGAGCATTGTCGTTTGCTTCATGCGGGTCCTCAATTATTATTAGGTTCTATACGAGAAACATTTTGGCCTATACGCGGACGCAATCTAGCCAGAGCAACGGTACGAAAATGTTTAAGATGCTTTAGATTTAATCCCGAACTTGTCAAGTCAATCATGGGCAATTTGCCTCGCGATCGAGTTACACCTTCTAGTCCATTCCATGTGACAGGAATCGACTATGCAGGGCCGTTTTTAATAAAAAGGGGACGGGGATGTAAGGTAGAAAAGTGCTATGTTGGGCTATTCGTCTGCTTTTCTACCAAAGCCCTCCACCTTGAACTCATTTCCAGTTTAGCAACTAGTTCGTTCATTCAAGCATTACGTCGTTTTGCTTCCAGGCGTGGCAAACCAATAAAAATCGTATCCGACAATGGTACCACGTTCGTCGGAGCTTATCGAGAACTAGGTAATTTTTTAAAATCAAATCGAAATAATTTAGTAAACGCAAGCGCACTTGGGCAAATCAATTGGTCTTTCATACCACCGTATTCACCTCACTTTGGCGGCCTGTGGGAAGCCGGTGTGAAGAGTGTCAAGCATCACTTAAAGCGGGTTCTGGGGAATACGCAGTTAACTTTTGAGGAGTTTTTAACAATTTTGTGCCAGATTGAAGGCATACTAAATTCTAGACCTCTTTGCCCTTTAACATCCGATCCAAACGATTTCCTTCCTCTCACTCCGACCCACTTCTTGATAGGCAGACCACTAGTAGCTGTGCCAGATGATAATGTAGAAGACATAAAGACAAATCGATTAACCAGATTTCAATTGATTCAACAACTTTCTCAACAATTTTGGAGACGTTGGGAACGAGACTTTATATCAGAAATGCAGCAAAAACACAAATGGGAAGAATTATCAAGCTCCATCCCGGAACAGACGGCATTAGCCGTGTTGCTTCAATACAAACAGGAGGTGGTGTCATCCAGCGAAGTTTCTCCAGAATTTGTCCTCTTCCAATGTCCGATTGAAAGTGTGAGCTCTTTCAAGGCCGAGGGCATGTTCAGGCCACATACTTTAAATACATTCTTTTTAACAACAACATCGCCGTAAACGTGACAACAGTGTTCTCACCCTTCGCGACGCGATAGTGCGTAAGTTAAGTGCTTAACCAGTGGGAAAAGCGGGGCACGGGGGCAGAAACACATGTGTGATTTTACCTCTCGCGGTCGAAAACCAGGATAACGGGGGTGTTCTCTGG